CGAGCAGGGACCTGGGCGTGGGGTCATGGGGATGAGCAGGGACCTCTGTATGGGGGCACAGGGACGAGCAGGGACCTGGGCGTGGGATCAGCGGGGCCCAGCAGGGACCCCCGTGTGGGGACGAGCAGGGAGTTGTGCCCAGGGATGAGCAGGGACACATGGGGGGACTCACGGGGTCACAGGGACAAGCAGGGAGGGGCCTGGGTATGGGGTTAACAGGGCTGAGCAGGGACCTGGGCGTGGGATCAGCGGGGCCCAGCAGGGACCCCCGTGTGGGGACGAGCAGGGAGTTGTTGTGCCCAGGGATGAGCAGGGACACATGGGGGGACTCACGGGGTCACAGGGACAAGCAGGGAGGGGCCTGGGTATGGGGTTAACAGGGCTGAGCAGGGACCTGGGCATGGGGTCAGAGGGACAAGGCAGGGACCTGGGCAGGGGGTCATGGGGATGAGCATGGACCTGTGTATGGGGATGAGCAGGGACAAACAGGGACCTGTGCGTGGGATCACGGGGAAGAGCAGGGACACACACACACAGTGTCATGGGGATGAGCAGGGACCTGGGCATGGGGTCACAAGGACGAGCAACCACCTGTGTACGGGGTCATGGGGACGAGCAGGGACCTGTTCAGAGATGAGCGGGGACCTGGGCCTGGGGACAAGCAGGGACCTGTCCAGTGGGTCACAGGGATGAGCAGGGACCTGTGCATGGGGCCATGGGATTGAGCAGGGGCAAACACTGGGGCGAGGCACGCAGGGTGGGTGGGTGCCAGCACCCCTGGGTGCTCTCAGTGTCCCCTGGCCCTCGGTGCTCCGTAGGGATCCATGATCGACCGCATCGAGAACAACATGGACCAGTCCGTGGGATTTGTGGAGAGGGCCGTGGCTGACACCAAAAAGGCTGTGAAGTACCAAAGTGAGGCCAGGAGGGTGAGACGGACTGACGGCCCCGGTGTCCCCCCGTGTCCCCTCCATAGCCCGCAGTGTCCCCAGGGCACTCTTGGTGTCCCCCTCTGGCCCTCAGTGTGCCTGCCCATCTCCCAGTGTTCCCAGCATCTCCCTGTGTCCTCCAGCAGCCCTGAGACCCCCTTGTGTCCCCTAGCCACCCTTTGTCCCCCCCAGCCACCCTCGTTTCCTCAGCCACCTCTTGTCCCCCCCAGACACCCCCAGTGCTCCCCCAGCTGTCCCCAGTGACTCCCACCTCCCCCCAGTGACCCCAGCTGGTCCCCACTCCCCCCTTTGCCACCTCCATGGGGGGCAGGCAGCTCTGTCCCTCTCTGGGCTCCCCTCTCTCTGAGCTGGGGAGGGCTCAGCCCCTCCTGCCCTGTCCCGGGGCTCTGCAGCATCTCTGGCTCTTCAGGACCCCCCGGTGCCCCCCTCTGGTGTCCCCCCACGTGGCACAGGTGTCACCACCCCCGTGTCCCCCCTGTCCCCCCCAGAAGCTGCTGGTTTTGGTGGTGGTGGCCGTGCTCTTGTTGGGGATAGTCGCCCTCATCATCGGACTCTCAGTGGGGCTGCCCACGAAATAGCCCCAGAGAGGGGGGTCCGTAAGTTTTGGGGGGCAGGGGACCCTCCCTGTGGGGACAGGGAGTCCCGGGGGGCAGCAGGGACTGCTGGGGTGGTCCCACCGTCAGCTCCTGCTCAGGGGGGCCCCGGTGCTTTGGGGCTGTCGCGGGGCTGGGGGTGGTTTTGGGTCTGTGGTGCTCGGGGGCTCTGCATTCCTTGGGGGTCTGCAGCGCTCGGGGCTCTGCTGTGCTTGGGGTCTGTGGTGCTCGGGGGTCTTTGGAAATCGGGGATCCCTGTTGCTGTGGGGGTCTGTGCCGTCTGGGGAGCCTCGGGGGGCTGCCATGCTCAGGACATGTGGCTCAGGGGTCTGTGGCGCTCGGGGCTCTGCCGGTGTTTGAGGGGCTGCAGCCTCAGGGCTCCGAGTGGCTCGGGGCTCTGCTCTGCTCGGGGGCTCTGCTCTGCTCGGGGGGCTGCAGCGCTCAGGGGTCCCTGCTGCTCGGTCCTGGGGTGCCGGGGGCTCTGGAGGTCGGCTCCGTGCTCCCCACATCCCTCCCTCCCCACAGCTCCCCGCTGCACCCCCTCGTCCCATTCCCTTCCAGCCTCTCCAGCCGGGAGCTGACATCCCGCCTCTCCCTCCTCCAGACGCTCCTGACCATCCCAACGGTGTCACCTCCCGGCTGGATCCTCCCCGGCACCGATCCCGCCCGCTTCCCTCCCTGCCTTTCCCGGACCTGCTCCCCTCACCTTCCGTGTCCCGCTTCCCACCGCTGGCTCCGGCTCGGCACCGCCGCCTTTCCCTCCACGGAACACCCCGTCTCAGTTCCCCGCCGATCCCTGGGATCCTCCCCACGGGAAAGGGAGGGGACACCGCGGGGATGTGGCCGCTGGTGCCAGCGCGGGGTGACAAGGAGATGGATCCGAGGGCTGGACGCTCGTCCCGGTGGCACGCGGGATGGGAATGGGGACAGTGACCGGCGCCGCGGCGACCGTGGACATTTTAGTTCCCAATTCCAATAAAATCCCGGCTGATCCCTGCCCTGTGCCTCCTCTCCCTGCTGTCACCCCGGACACCCAAAGCCACCAGCCCGGCTCCGGCGGTGCCCGGGGCTCTGGGGGCTGTGACAGCCCCGTTTTTGTAGGAGATGAGGGGGGCTGTGGGGCTGGGGACACCCCAAACCCCCCGGGCTCTGCCCGGAGTGTCCCCCCCGCCCAAGTGTTTGGGTAAGTCACAGTTTGGTCACCTGTGCCAGCGGGACGCACCGGCACTGTCACCTCCCTGCGCGACACGCAAGCAGCTCACACCTGCCCTGCCACCTCCCCTGTCCCCTCCCAGCCCGTCCTTGTCCTTTATCCCCCTCCCCAGCCCCATTCCTAGTACCTGTCCCCTGCCCTCCTTCCCCAACCCCGTCCCTTGTCCCCAGCCCCATTCCTTTTGCCTTGTTCCCATTCCCAGCCCCGTCCTTGTCCCTCTCCCAATCTGTCCCCCTCCCATCCTTGTCCTTGCTCCTTGTCCCCCTCCCCAGCCCCATTCCTTATCCCTTATCCCCGTCCCCATCCCCATCCTTGTCCCCTATCCCCATCCCCATCCTTGTCCCCCTTCCCAGCCCCATCCTTGTCCCCTGTCCCCCTTCCCAGCCCCATCCTTGTCCCTTGACCCCCCTGCCCGGCCTGTCCCATCCCCTTCCCCATTCCTTGTCCCTTATCCCCCTGCCCATCCCTGTCCCCGTCCCCTCCGGTGTGTCCCCCCCTCGTGTCCCTGGCTCACATTCCCTGTCTCCCTGAGCAGAAGAAGATCATGATCATGTTGTGCTGCATCATCCTGGCCATCATCCTGGCCTCCAGCATCGGGAGCATCTTCGCCTGAGCCCCCCTCCCGCTGCCCTCCAGGTGACCGGGACAGGGACAGCGGGTGGCACGGGGGGTCCCCGCCTTCCCCAATCCCAGGGGAGCGGCTTTGGGCCTCGGTGGGGTTTGATCCAGGTGGGATTCACCCCCTCGGGTGTCGGGGAGGGAGTGGGAGCCACGTCCCTTTCCTGGGTGTCACCTCTTGTCCCTGTCACAGGTGGCTCTTCCCCCTCCTGCCCCCCGCCCGGATGATCCACGGGAGAGACCCCGGCCTGCCAAGCCCCTGGTCCCTGGAGCCCCGAGGACACCCCGACACGTCCCTGGAGGAGTGGAGCCCCCCTGCCGTGCTCCCCCAGTTCCCAGCTCCTCATCCTGCTCTCCTCGGGTGATGGCCGGTGGCACGGAGCGGCCGGAGGGGCCGTGTCCCTCTGCGGGGGGCACACGGGGGCTCTGCCTTGCTGGGATGGCCGGAGGAGCCTCTTCCCTGCGCTCGGAGCTCCTTGGATGTGCAGCCACCCACGCCAGAGCCTTCTTCCTCAATAAAGAGCTCACCCACACTCTGCCTCCTGCTTCGAATCCCGCCCCATTTATCCCCCAGGGTGGTCCCAGTTCTGTGTTTCCAGCTCCAAAACCCATGTCAGGATAAAGAGCCTTGTGTCTCAAACCACTGAATCCTCCAGGATGCTCCAAGTTCCATGATTCCACCTCCAAAACCCACTTCAGGATAGAGCCCAGCCATCCTTTGCCTCATCCCTCAGTCCATGAGGCATCCATTTATCCCCCAGGCATCCATTTATCCCCCAGGATGCTCCCAACTCCATAACCCCCTTCAGGATAAAGAATTCACCCACGCTCTGCCTCGTGCCTCAAACCCTGACCCATGGATTCCCCAGGATGCTCCCAGCTCCATGTTTCCACCTCCAAAACCCTCTTCAGGACAATGAACCTCATGCCTCAAACCCTGATCCATTTATTCCCTGGGATGCTCCCAGCTCCTGGTTTCCAGCTCCATAACCCACTTCAGTGCCGAGCCCATCCATCCTTTGCCTTGTGCCTCAAACCCTGATCCATGGATTTCCCAGGATGCTCCCAATCCCACGTTTCCAGCTCCAAAACCCACTTCAGGATAAAGAATTCACCCACACTCTGCCTTGTGGCTCAATCCCTGATTCATTTATGTCCCAGGACGCTCCCAGTCCCACGTTTCCAGCTCCAAAATGCACTTCAGGATAGAGCTCACCCATGCTCTGCCTCGTGCCTCAAACCCTGATCCATGGATCCTCCAGGATGCTCCCAGCTCCAAAACCCACTTCAGGATGAAGAGCTCGTCCATCCTCAGCCTGGATCCACGTATCCCTCAGCTCCACGATTCCAGCTCAGGACAAAGAGCCTCACGCCTCAAACCCCGATCCGTGGATCCCCCGGGATGCTCCCAGCTCCAAAACCCACTTCAGGATAAAGAGCTCATCCATCCTCAGCCTGGATCCACGTATCCCTCAGCTCCACGATTCCAGGACAAAGAGCCTCACTCCTCAAATCCCCCGGGATGCTCCCAGCTCCACAATTCCACCTCCCTGAGCTCAGCCGGGCTCTGCCTTGCGCCTCCGCCCCACGTGTCCCCCCGGGACGCTCCCGGCCCAGCATTCCCACCTCCGAACGCCAGCGCGGGCTCCGGCGTGCCGCTTTAATCCCGTGGGAATGCCGCCCGCGCCCCTCACACCCTGTGCCTGAGGAAGAACTTGCCCCAGTAGCGGCCCTGGAGCCGCAGGTCGTAGGGGCTCAGGTACTTCCTCATGCCCAGCATGTTGGAGGTGACGACGCGCTCGAAAGTCCAGGGGTTCTGGTTGTTGAGCCTCTTCTCCTCCTCCTCCCGGCGCATCTCCTGGAGGCTCTCCCGGCTCACGGGCACGGCCGGGAAGGGCAGCTTTTGGGCCACCTGGGCGAGGAAAGGCCGGACCTGGCCGAAGTGGCAGTGGCCGCCCACCTCGACGACGAGCCTGCCGCTGCGCACGGCCGTCACGTAGTGGTCGATGGGGCCCTTCCCGCCGCCCATCCGGTGGCCCAGGCTCTTGCGGGTCACCGGCTTGTACGGGGCGGGCACGCGCCACACGGCGAACATGGACTTGGGGTCGATGTGGCGCCCGATGGTCAGGCGGATCATCTCGAAGTGGCCCCAGTGCAGGTACCCCCCGCCCAGAGCCTGCGGGGAAACAGCGAGAGCCCGGGATGGGGGGGACAAACTGGGATATGGGGTGGAATAACTCAAGGATAAGGGGTGGGATAACTCGGGATATGGGGGGGGATAATCCGGGATGTGGGGTGGAATAGCTCAAGGATAAGGGGTGGGATAACTCGGGATATGGCATGGGACAACTCAGGGATATGGGGTGGGATAACTCGGGATATGGGGGGGATAACCCAGGATATGGGGTGCGGTAACTCAAGGATAAGGGGTGGGATAACTCAGGATATGGGGGGATAACTCGGGATATGAGGGAATAACTCAGGATATGGGGGGATAACTCGGGATATGGGGTGGGATAACTCGGGATATGTGAGGGATAACCCAGGATATGGGGTGGAATAGCTCAAGGATAAGGGGTGGGATAACTCGGGATATGGGGGGGATAACCCAGGATAGGGGGGGATAACCCGGGATGGGGGGGATAATCTGGGGTATGGGGGGAATAACTCAGGATATGGGGAGGATAACTTGGGATACAGGGGGGATAACTCGGGATATGGGGTGCGATAACTCAAGGATAAGGGGTGGGATAAATCAGGGATGTGGGGTGGAATAACTCAAGAATAAGGGGTGGGATAACTAGGAATATGGGGGGGATAACCCAGGATATGGGGTGGGATAACTCAAGGATAAGGGGTGGGATAACTTGGGATATGGGGTGGGATAACTTGGGATATGGGGTGGGATAACTCAAGGATATGGGGGGGATAACTCGGGATATGGCGTGGGACAACTCAGGGATATGGGGATGGGACAGAGGGAACTGTGTCCTGCCTGGGAACAGGGACGTTGGACAGAGGAAACCGTGTCCTACCCAGGGCAGGATAACTCAGGGATACGGGGTGGGATAACTCAGGGATAAGGGGTAGGACAGAGGGAACCATGTCTTGCCTGGGAACAGGGACATGGCACAGGGACAAAGGGTCCTGTGTTCTACCCAGGGACAAGGACAAGGGTGTCCATGTCCTGCCTGGGAACACTTAACCTGCGAGTCACACTCCTGAGCCCCTTCCCGGGAATGCTGGGGCGTTCCCAACAGAGGTAAATCAGTTTTCCAGAGCCACTCTGGCACCAATTCCCTCCAGTTCCTGGCCGTTTTGGGAGGGCTCAGCAGCACGGGGGGTCTCCACCCTGGGGGTTCCCACTCCTGCTCCAATCCCAGCCTCTGGAATTCCCCCCCCGGCTCCCTTCGGCGCTCACCAGGATCCCGTACTGCCCCTGGCTGAAGTCGGTGGCCTCCCGGGACGGCCCGCGGATGTCACGGAGCATCCGCGGCTCCCGCCGGACCTTGGGCACGGCCGGCACCTTGTCCATGAACTTCAGCTTCGGCTTCTCCGGGAAGGTGATTCCTGCCGGGACAACGCCGGGATGAGGATCCCCGGCAAGGCCGCGGGCGGAGCCCCGCGCCTCCCCTCGCCGCTGTACTCACCGCTGTAATCCGGCGGCAGCACCCACTTCTTGAGCCCCGCGCGGGGCATCGCCACTCCGCCGGGACCTGCGGGGCAGAGCGGGGGGGTCACGGCGGGGCCCGGCGCCCTTCACGGTGTCCGGGCCCGGGGTCACCCCCTCCACGCCCCGCCCGAGTCCCCGCCGGGCCGCCCCGGCCGTCCGAGACCCCCCCGGGCAGCGGGGAGCCCCTGGGAGCGCGGCCCGAGCCCCCCCGACCTGGCCCGGCCCGGAGCAGCCCCGGTAGCCGCCATCGCCACATCGCCGGAAGTGCCGCACAGGAGCCGCCATCGGTCCGTCCGCAAACCCGCCCCCCCGTGCCGCGGCCCGGCTGGGAAACGCGCCCGCAATATTAGTTCCGCCGCATCCCAGTTCCCCCCGCGCGTACCGGAGAGGGGGGACCGACCTTGGGTTTCTCCTCCGGGGGGGTCCCGGAGTCCCTCAGCGGCCTCGGGAGGTGCTAGAAGTGGTTTCCAGTCTTTGTGCTGGGCGACAAACTGCTTTTGTCGGGATAATAAAAGCCCGGAGTGCTTTGACTAGGATAAAGTTCCATTTTATTCCCAGTAGCTGGGTTCGGATTCAGGAACTCGGGATGGAAATGCTGTGGATCACACAGGGATGGTTTGGTGGTTGCCGAGCAGGGCTTGCCCTCCTCAAGGACTCCACAGTGTCCTATGGGACAATCCATGTTTTCCACGATAATCCATGTTTTCCAGGAGGTGACACCATCCTCCTCCTCCTCCTCCTCATCTCTGTGTCCTGCTTGGCTGGGAATTTTCCACCTCTTCTGCTCCACAGGGGCCTCCATTGCCCACCAGAAGCTCCTTTCTCCCCCCCACCCTGAGCCCTGGGGTGACCTGGGGCTGTGACATCACAAGTAGGGCTGTGACATCAGCGCGCCGTCGCCGGGCAACACTGGGAGCCACCCCCACCCAGCTCCCAGGGATATGGGATACCTGCGATCCCAACGGGATGGGGGGAGCCATGAGCGGCGTCCTGCCGGGCTCCCGGAGCAGCCGAGTGGCTCCAGCTGCTCCCAGTTCCCCCATGGCTCCCGCTCTTCCGGAGGCTCCCGTGGGCTCCATGCCATGCGGATGCGGCCCCGGCTGCTCCCCCTGTGCCACAGCGGCCCAGGAGCTGCAGGACCTGCTGGTGTCCGTGTGTGCCGGGAACGGGAGGTCCTTCCCGAGGGTTTCCCTGGCGTGGCAGGTGCTGTGGGAGGACCTGGAGAAGCTGGTGGAGCGAGGCCACCTGTACTGCTGCCTCGGTGATTCCTGCTGGATTCCAGACGGGAAAGGCCCCGCGGGCAGCTCTCCCTACTCCCTGGGAGACGCGGGAATGAGCAAGGCCAGCTCATCCCTGAGGGTGCACGTGGCCAGGAAAAGCCTGGAAGTCAAAATGGGAGCCTGGCCCATCCCAGTGGTGCGCTCCCAGGAGCGGGTGGAGCGGCAGGAAGGGTCATCCCAGCCCCCCAAGAGCCTCCGTTCCTCCGGAAGCCTCACGTGTTCCCAGGAGCGGGTGGAACGGCAGGAAGGGTCACCCCTGCCCTCGGAGAGCCTCCATTCCTCTGGCAGCCTCACTCCTTCCGAAAGCCTCTCCCTCTCCAAGAGCCTGAGCGATTCCTGGCGGGCTCCAGACGGAGAAGACGCCGTGGACAGCTCTCCCTGCTCCCTCGGAGCAGCGGGAATCAGCAGAACACGCTCGTCCCTGAGGATGCACGTGGCCAGGAAGAACCTGGAAGTCAAACTGGGAGCCCAGCCCACTCCAGTGAAGAGTTCCCAGGAAGAAGTGGCACAGCAGGAAGAGCCCTGGAGCCACCAGTGCCCAATCCAAGGATCCCGGGACGCTGCGGTGGTGCCAACTGGGAACACCCCGGGCTCGGTGTCGGAGAAGATCCTCCAGCAGCAAAGGGATCTGGAATTCCCCCATCTCCAGGGAGCTTTCCCAAGCTGGCTGTCAAATTTCAGGAGGAAGTTTCTCCTGGCAGTACAGATACTCCTGCAGATCCTGTGTTTGAAATAAATAAGGGTTTTCCCCAGAGAGCTGCCTGAGTGTTCCCACTGCGCTGGTGTTATTGGGATAGGGTTCCTTCCTTCCCAGCAGCTGGGTTTGGATTCAGGATGGGAATGCTGTGGTTTGGTTTCCCTCCTCAAGGACTATGCGGTGTCCCAAGGGACAATCCATGCTTTCCACTGGGACAGGGCTGGAACAGGGACAGGGGTGGGGACCAGGAGCAGGGCTGGATTGAGGACAAGTGCCCAAGCCCCTTGGTTTTCCCTGGAAGGAGGAAAGTCTGGAAACGAGCCCCATGTGTGTGCAGGGAGCGTGGGAATACCCAGCTTCCCCCTGGAGACCCGTGGCCACCACCCCTTCCACGGGGGTTAAAAAAAGCCACCAGTGGGGGTCATCCCTCCATCTCCATTATCCCAGGGGATGCTCCCAGGGGAGGGTGGTTTGTGCTCTTCCTTGCAGCCATGGCTTGGGCTCAGCATGGCCTGGGAAAGGGGGGGTCTGGGGGGTCTGGGGACAGGGACAGGGTAGGTCCCCCTGCCCTGGGCATGGTGAGAGGGACCACGGCCTCGGTGCCTGGGGCCACTCCCTAAAGGATCACTGCAGGGATTTGAGGTCCAGCTGAACCTCGAGCTCATCCTGGTGCATCTTGGGGTTCCCAAATCCCTGTCTCACTCCTCCTCCCCCTCACCTGTCACGTGTGGCCCCTCGTGGCTCTCGGTGACGATCCCGCTCCGTGTCCTGGGGAGCCGTGTGGCCGCTGGGGAGCTGATCCTGGGTCCTGGATGTGGAGTCACCAGTGCTGACAGGGATGGATTCCGGCTGGAGCACCCGCTCCTGGGCTGTGGGACCACCCTGGAGGTGAGAAACGGGGACACATGTCCCTGATGGAAATGGGCATGGGGTGGGAATGAGGGGACCCTGCCAGGGCTTGGGGCGGGGAAGGAAACCAGGTGGGACCGGTGTGGAGGGTCCCCCCAAACCCCCATCCCGGCCATTCTGAGAGCACTGCTGAGTGAGGGGTCACCTGAACCCTGGCCTGGGCATTCCTGGGTGCTGGGGCAAGGGGGAAACCCCCAGCCCCAAATCCAGCCCCAAACCCACTTCTTCCCACAGCTCCTCCCAGACAAAATCCGCTACGGGAACATCCTCCACTCCCACCCCTTGTCCAGGGGGCCTGTGGCTCGTGCCAGACCCTTCTCCCTCCCTATGGAGTGTAACTACCCCAGGTGAGCGGGGAGAACCCCCCCAGGAGCCCAGGATTCCCCAGCAGAGACCCTTGGGAGCCAGGGCTCTGAGTCCCACGTGAGCCCGCCGTGGGATCCATCTGGGAGGGATTTGGGAGGGAGGGTGTGGGGTTGTCTGTATCAGGATGGGGTGCAGGGGTGCCCTCCGTGCCCTCACTCAAGGATCCTCTGTGGCACAGGACAGGCAACATTTCATCCATCCCACCCGGATCCCCTTCGGCTCCACCGTCGCCCACCGGAGATGGCCGCGCTTCGCCCTGGCCATGTTTGACCGTGAGTGGAGGAGCCCTGGACCCCCTCACCCCGCAGGGCGGGACCCCCGTGACCCTCGGGGCACCCCCTTCCAGGTTCCTGCTCCTCCCGCCTGTCCCACCCCTCCTATTCCCTGGGTCAGCTGATCAACGTCCAGGCGTCCGTGGGCACCGACCCCTGGGAGCCCCTGAGGGTGTTCGTGGACCAGCGCGTGGCCGCTCCAGGCGTTTCCAAACGGCCGGAATTCCGCGTCATCGCTGACAACGGGGGAGCTCCGCGGCTGGAATGGGGTGGGGGGACCCTCTGGGGAGGGGGTGGCAGTGCCCGGCTCGCCCTGTGTCTCACCTAGCAGGTGCCTTCTGGATGGGCGGCTCGGCTCGGCCGCTCCCGCTTCCTCCCGCGGCGTGGAAACCACTCCCTCCGCTTCCAGCTGGACACTCTCCTCTTCCCAAACCTCTCCGGCAGCCAGGTCCGTGCCAGCGGGGGGGGCTGGGGGCGTGGGATGACCCCTCCAGAGCCTGGTGGAGAATCCACGAGGATGTTTGCCCCGGCAGGTCTCCCTCCGCTGCCACCTGCGGGCTGTGGCTCCAGGGGCTGGAAGCCTCTCTGGAAAAGCCCGTTCCAGCGCCCGGGAGGCATTTGCCTGGCACTCCCTGGATGCTGGATTCACTGGATTCGACTGTTCGTGCTGCGGGTCCCCAAAAGGCTGTGGGAGGCGTCGGTGTCTGGCTGGTGGAGGTGAGATGAGACCCCCCCCCCCTTGGCGGGCTTCCTGAGCCCCGCGGGGGCGATTCCCGTGCTCCATGAATCCATCCTCCCTGCAGGGCTCCTGGGAGAAGCCGGTGTCCACCTGGGGCTGCTCTCGGCTCGTCCCAGCCCGTCCCCAGCCCCTCGGGAGCCCACCCCGGCCCCCCCTGCCCGCCCCTCGGTGCCTGTGCCGCGGGGGGACCAGAGGGACTCAGGTGGGTGCGAGCCCCCCATGGATCCGGGGGAAGGGGGGGCCTGAGGGTCCTCAGGTACCCACGGTGATCCCCGGGAGGCCCCCTGCTCCCGCCGAGCCCGTCGCTGCGTGAGCATCCCTGTTTCGGGAATAAACGTGCGGAACTGCCCGAGGCGGTTGTGGATCCTGTGGACGCCCCGGGGGTGCTCGGTGCTCGGGGGTGGGGGGCTGTGACACGTCCCCACTGCCACTGTGGACCCCATAAAGTCCCACCGGGCTCCCTGGGGTGCTCTGGCGGGTGCTGGGAGCCGTGGGATAATTTGGGGAGAAGGGCAGGGCTGGGGTTCCTCGTGGGCGCCTCAGCTCCGGGATGTTGGGGGGGATATGGGCTGGAATAGGGGCACTGCTCCCCAGGTCCCAAAGCTGCTTGGGCACGGCGGGGCAGGTCCCGGGGCTGGGGGGGACATGGATCAGAGGGCCCCTGTGCCACTGTCTCACCTGGGGGACACGAGCTGTGCCTGTCACTGTGGAGTGCTGGGTGCAGGGATTTTGGGATACAGGACAGTATCTTGTACCCCCCTCGTTCCCAGGGCATTAATTCTTGGATTTGGGGTTTAATCCCCTGCCCGGAGCTCCTGGCTCCTTCTCAGAGCTGGACACCCTAAAAACAGGGGGCAAAGCCAGCACAGGGGGCAGTGGCTGGGATGAGTGGGGGGGGTCCCATCTTCCCTTCCCTCCTGCTCCAGGGAGCAGATCCAAGGAGGATATTCCGGACCATCCCTGTCTGGGGAAGGGGTACCAAGAAGATCCAGAGGGAATGGTGCCTGGGCAGTGCCCCGTGTCCCCCGCAGCCCCCCCTGGTCCCCCCCTCCTTCCCCCAACTCACCCGCTCCGCCGGGAGGAGCCGCAGGAGCTCTAATGGCCCTTGATGGATTTATTCTTCCAGGAATTCGCGGCGCGGCTTTTTTTTTTTTTTTTCTTCCTCCTTTCTCTCTTTTCATTTTTTTTCCCCCCTTTCTTTCTGAGCTCCTGTAAACACGGCCTGGAGCTGGAAGGGGGTGGGAGAGATGGGGGGACACAGAGCTGGGGGGGGGGGTTGGAGGGGTTTTGTGTGTCCCCAGAACCCTCTTTTCCTCCTCTCCCTTGGGTTGGGGATGAGCACCTTTCCCCGGGGGGGGTTTGCAACGTCGGACATCGCCCCACGGAGCATCTCCCTCTCCTGCCCCACGGAGCAACTCCCCGTGCCCCACGCGGCCGGGGTGCCCCACGGAGCATTTTCCCTGCCTCCTGCCCACCGCGGGGAGGTGGGGGAAATGCTCCATGGGGCATCTCCCCAGCCCCAGCGAACATCTCCCCCCGCCCCACACAGTCCCCCGGGGCATCTCCCCCCGCCCCACGCAGCCGGGGGACCCCACAAAGCGTCTCCCCCCACCCCACACGGGCGGGGTCTCCCATCTTCCCTGCCCCATGGAGCATCTCCCCTCACCCCCCGCAGCCGGGATGTTCCACTTTCCGCCCCCCCCATCCTTTACGGGGTGATTTCTGGGGGGGTTTTGGGGTTGGGCGGTGCCCGGGGGGTGTGTGATGCAGCCGCTGACGTCACGGCGCCCGGCCAATGGGCGGCGGGCGGGGCGGGGTGTGGCGGGCGGGGTGTGGCGGGGGCGGCCCCGGTGGGAGCGGGGCTGCTCCGGGGGGGTCCCGGCGCCCCCCGATCTCTCCATGCAGGGCATGGGGAGCCTCCGGCTGGGCAACCGCGCCGTCATGTACACGGCGGAGACCCTCTCCAAGGGCAAGAACCGCGTCATGGGGGTGAGATTTGGGGGAGCACGGGGTGGGGGGGCTCGGGACGGGGAACCCCTGGAAAACCCCCCCTCACCCCGTTCCCGGGGGATTCCCACCCTCCCGCCGATCCCTCGGGGGACGCTGTGGGATCAAGGCGCCCCCGCGGCCGGCGCGGCACTGGAGGAAGGGGGGCGGTGGTGAGTTGACCTCATTCCCGTCCATCCCGGTCCCCGCAGACCATCCAGATCATGACGGGATTCCTGCACATCGGCTTCGGGATCGTCCTGACCACGCTCACCAGCCTCTACACCTCGGTGTTCGTCATCGGAGAGATCCCGTTCCTGGGCGGCGTGTCGGTGAGCGCGGGGCAGCGGGAACGGTCCTGCCGGGAAGGGATCCCGCAGGGAAAGGATGCCCAGAGGGGAAGGAGTGCCCACCCTCCAGGAGGGGCATCCTCTGGGAAAGTTTGCCCACCGAGGAATTGGTGCCCACCAGGGAGCGATGCCCACAGGGAAGGGAATCCCGCCAGAGAGGGATACCTACCAGGAAAGATGCCCACCAGGAATGATGCCCGCTAGGAAGGGAATCCCACCAGGGAAGGACGGGTGCCAGGGAATGATGTCCACGAGGAAGAGAATCCTGCCAGGGAATGATGTCCACAGGGAAGGATGCCCACCAGGAGCAATGCCCAGTGGGGAATGATGCCCAGCAGGGAATGATGCCCACAAGGAACAGAATCCTGCCAGGGAATGATGCCCACCAGAGAAGGATACTCCCCGGGAAGGAAGGACACCCACCAGGGAACGATGCCCACCTAGGCAGGGAATCCCACCAGGGAAGGGATGCCCACCAGGAACGATCCCCCCTGGGCTCCCGTGGCTCCAGCCACTCCATCCCTGGGCACAGGGAATTCTGCCCCCCCAACTCCCAACCCAGGGGGGTGTCCCCGGGCAGCTCTGGGGGTGCCCCTGACCCCCCCTGTTCCCCTCTCAGTTCATCATCTCCGGCTGCCTCTCCATCGGCGCCGAGAAGAGCCCCACGGAATGCGCGGTGAGTGCCGCCGGGAACGGGCCGGGACGTCCCTCCTGGATCTTTGGGGGGGGTCTCCCGCCCCCCTGATCCCCCCCCCGGGCCCCCTGAGAGCCCCCGGTGCCCGCAGGTGAAGGGCAGCCAGACCATGAACGTCATCAGCGCCATCTTCGCCCTGCTGGGCATCGTGGCCTTCATCGTCGACCTCAACCTCAACGTGCTCTACCACTCCAGCCTCGACTACCACGGATACCTCGTCCTGGTAATCCCGCTTTCGGGAATTCCCGCCCCCGGGAGAACCCCCCCGGCGTGTCCCCCACCCCTCAGAGGGGCGTCGTGGCCCCCCCCAAAGGCGCTTTTGGGGCGGGGGTTTGGCGCGTCTGCCGGCGTTGACCTATTTCAGGTCGGTCCCTCGGGAGATGACTCACCCTTTGGAAGCATCCGCGAGCCGGAAAAACGGCGGGATGGCGGGCTCGGAGCGCTGGCGGAGCCGGGAGTGCGGCGGGAGAGGAGGGGGGAGCCCCAAAGCGCGGCGTGGAGTGGGATTTTCCTCCTCCCGGGCGCTTCCCGGGGAGGTGCTGATGGGGTTTTCCCCCCCCCACCCTGGAGCTCGCAGGGAACGGGATTTCCATCGTGCTCCTCATCTTCACCGTCCTGGAATTCTGCATCGCCGTGGCCACCGCCAACTTCTGGTGCCGGGCCACCCGGCTCAGCTCCAACGAGGTAAGGAATGGGATGAGGGGGGGAGGCTGGGATGGACACCCCCCCCGAAGCTCTTCCCTGTTATCCTGGCGTATCCCATGATCCCGGTTTCTCCCAGTCCATGCTGATCGTCCCCAGTGCCACCCGCGTGGACCTGGCCGTGCCACCGGCGGAGCTGCCGCAGCCACCCAGCTACACCGAGGTGATTCCCGATCCCAAGGAATACCTGGGATAGGAGCGCAGTCGGGATTGGGATGGCCCTCCCCACCCCGGAGCAGCATCCTATCCCTTCCTGTGTGACAGACCCCATCCCGCTGCCCTGGGAGAACACCCCATTCCCAGAGAGCATCCCGGAGCATCCACCTCTCTGCTCCGGGAATGGGGGAGGAGATCCCAAAATCCCGCTGAGGGGTCACCCCAAATCCTTCCCCCTTCCCAAAGCTCGCTCTCCTTCCAGCTGGCTGCTCCTGAAGTCTGACACCGGAATGGGATCCTGCCTCCATCGCTCCCAAATCCAGGGCTACGGCATCGTCTTCCCGCTGGGATACGCTGGTCCCACCCCTCCAAAAGCCAGCGAGCCCCCCCCAAATCCCCACTCTCCTGCCCATCCATCTGCCCCCGTGCCTGGTCTGAGGGGCATTCCTTGCTGGCTGCTTCGGGAAGGGGCTTCTCCGCGCGGGACTCTTGCGGAATTCCCGCCCATAAATCCCCAGTGGGATTCTGGGATTCACTCGTGTCAGGATTCAGGACTTCCCGGGGTTCCGGTGGCTTGGAGCGATCCCGACGCGTGGATCCACCGGACCGTCTACCTCGGCTCGTCCCGCGTTGGCTTGGTTTTATCTTGGGAATAAACGCTCGGTCCGGGCTTGTGGCTCCTGAATTTGGGAATTTTCAGCGCGGGAGTTACAATTTCACACCCCCCCAGACCTGCTCTCCGGCAGGAAAAGGGCTCATCCCACCTGGTTTGGGGGTACCTGCTCTCTCCCACGGGAATTCTGCCCCCCTAAGCCCCTGCTACCTGTTCTGTTTCCCAAGGGAATCCTGCCCCACTCTAAACCCCTGGGATTTGTTCTCTCCTGGGATTTGTTCTCTCCTGGGATTTATTCCACTCCCCTAAACCCCTGGCACTCGCTCCCAAGGGATTTTTGTCCCTGTGAACCTCCAGTGCCTTCTCTCCTGAGGTAATTCCATCCCCCTTAACCCCTGGCACCTGCTCCTGAGGGATTCTTTTCCCCCTAAACCCCCAGTGCCTGTTCCCGAGGGAATTCTGTCCCTTTAAGTCCCTCATACCCCTCTCTCCTGAGGCAAATCTCTCCATTCCCCCCAAACCCCTGGCATCTGATCCCGAGGGATTTTTGTCTCCCTAAATCCCCAGTGCCTGGTCTCCTGAGGGAATTCTGCCCCACTAAGCCCCTCTCCTGAGGGAATTCCAGCCCTCTCACCCCCCCCATACCTGCTGCCCTGAAGGAATTCCACCCCTCAAGCCCCTGGCACCTGATCCTGAGGGAATTCTGCCCCCCCTAGTGCCCTCTCTTCATGGAATTCCACCCCCTAAACCTGGGTACCTGCACTCCTGGGGGAATTCTGCCTCCCTAAACTCCTGCTACCTGTTCCCTCTCCCAGTGGAATTCTGTCCCCCCTAAACCCCCGGAAGTTGCTCCCAAGGGAATTCTCTCCCCCCTTGACTCCCAGGACCTGCTCTTTCTCCCGAGGGAATCCCACCCCCCCTAACCCCCTGGCACCTCATCCTGAGGGAATTCTGCCCCCATAAACCCCTCTCTCCATGGAATTCCGCCCCCCTAAACGGGGGTACCTGCCCTCCTGAGGGAATTCTGCCCCCAGACCCCCCCCTCCCACGCTCCGGCTCCGCTATTTTTAGCCGGGCCGGAGCAGCCGGAGCGCCGGCGGTGACGCCAGCACATCCCAGCACATCCCGCTTTTTCCGCCGCTGGAGAAGCTGCCCCCGGGGGCTTGAGCTGCTCCTCGGGGTGACACGGGGACACCGGCGCCATGTGCTCCCCGTCCCCACAATTCCGTGCGGCGGGAACGGAGCGGAGGGATCCGAGGGGCTGCGACCCCTCCGAGATCCCTCAGGTTTGGGGTCAGGAATCGGAGCCGAAGGGCTCCGGGATCGTTTTGTCGGCTCCTGACGAGCTCGTTACGGATCCACCCTTAATTATCCCGCACCCACAGGGATGCCTGGGGACCTAACGAGCATCCCAGTGGCACCGAGTTACTTAAGGAGCATCCCAAACTCCTGGAAAGCCAGGATGGAGACCCCAGTGCCAATTTTCCAAGGGGTGGGAGCATCCCGGAGACTTCTCAGTGCTCTGTGGAGGGGACCCCCTTACTTTTGGGGACAGGATCCATCCCAAATCTCCCCAGAGCAGGATCAGGGACGTCCTCCTCGAACATTCCCTTTGGTTTTCGGGTGTTTTCCTTGTTTTTCCCACCCTCCCCGACGCTCCGGCTGCTCAGCCAAAGCCTCATGGATTATTCACTCCCTGTCGGTTATTTCTGGGCCCAGCTCTGAAAAAATAATGAGCCTGATCAGTAGGAAAAGCCCCAGGGATTTTGGGAATGGGATGAACAGGTTGTGTCTACTCACCCCGTGTCCACAATCCATTACTGCTCCGGAGCATCCCAGCCTCTCCCAGCTCCACAGGGACCACCAGGAAGCCATTCCAACCCTCAGCCAAGCTGGTGGATCCATCTGTGTTTTCCCAGGGTGGCAGCTTCCCAGGAAAGAGGCTGGGAGTCATCCTCTCCCTCCTTGGGATCAGAGTCAGTTTTCCCAGAGTATCCCAGTGTTCAGGTGCAGCTGTCCCTGAAAATGCTGGAGTAAGTGTTTAAAGTTCCAAGGAAACGTGGGGGGTTTTAATATATCTCTATTTTTAGGTGGGAATTTGCAGCCCTGGGGGGGGGAGTGGGCAGTTTTCCTTATGGATTTGATCCCAAGCTCCATGAGTGTCCCTCATGGTGATGGTGCCACCCCCTGCTCTGTATCCTCGTGGACATGGATAAGTGGGATAATAAAGGGATAATAAAGGCTGAGAGCTGCTCCCAGGCTGCATCCATGGGCTTTTCACCCAGGAGATCCCTAAGGAAAGGCAAAACTCCATGGAGGAGCTGGGGAGCAGCTGTGAGATGGGCTGGGGGGGTCCCAATGGCTCTGTGTTCCCTGGAAAAGAGAAGGATCCAGGGAGACCTTGGAGCACTTTCCAGTGCCTAAAGCAGCTCCAAGAGAGCTGGAGAGGGACTTTGGAAAAGGGATGGAGCGACAGGGCATTGGGAATGGCTTCCCACTGCCAGAGGGTGGGAATATTGGGAAGAAATTCTTCCCTGTGAGGCTGGTGAGGCCCTGGAATGGATTTTCCAG